GCTGCCGCGCCTAAGTCCATCGATGCTGCCACTTGGCCAATCCAAATCGTTGGGGGTCTTCCTCTTTTTCTCTGACCTCCCCCTTACCAAACATGATATCCTTCTCCATTGACTGGTCCTTCCTGACAATATGTCTGAAACATGAGAGACAAAGTTTGGCCATCTTGGCCTCCAAGGAGCACTCTGATTGCACTTCTTCCAACACAGATCTATTGCTTCTTTTGGCAGCCCATAACACTTTCAATATTCTCCTCCAACACCATAACTCAAAAGCATCAATTCTTCTACGGTCTTCCTTATGCACTGTCCAGCTTTCGCATGCATATGAGGCTATTGAAAATACCATGGCTTGGGTCAGGCACACCTTAGTCCTCAAGCTGACATCTTTGCTCTTCAACACTTTAAAAAGGTCTTGTGTAGCAAATCTTATATGATAGGTACATTTCCTCACTGTGTAGTATTTAAAGTGGAAATAAGTTTTATATGGCAATAAAATGTATTAGACTTTTTTTTTTTAATCTGCTTCTGTGTTACTCATAAGAAAGTGTTCATAACTCAATGGGCCCTCAGAAGACAGCATCTCTGAGACCAGCAGGACCAAATGCCTTTCTGCTTCCTAGTCTATACTCAGACAGGCCTGGAGCCAGCATCTCATTCCTGCTCCACCTCAGTCTTCCTTCACTTCTCAAATAACTCCAGGCTGGAGCTCTTCTACAGAAGAAGAACTCCCTCTATAAGCCAGGAATCTCAACACCAGGACTACTGTTATCACGATCAGAAGATGAGTAAAGAGGGCACAGGGGAGGTAAAGAAAAGGGTCCTTGTCTGCAACCTTCCTGTAGAGCCCAATGGTTTGCAACCTGTATTTTTGAGTACCTGCATAAACACAGTTCAAAGCACACACCCCGCATTAACTACCATCTCCATGACTGCTTATGAATCAAGAGCTCACAGTCACGGAAGAAAGGAAAGGGGGCATGAGGACACAGAACAGAAGATCTGGCTTATCCCAGTCAGCAACACCTCAAACTAAGTTTAGGGACTGAAGTTTCATGCTTCCTATTGTAAGTTCCTGAATGTGCAAGAAAAGAAGGGAGAAAAACTCCAGCATCAAAGACAAATAACATGAATAGGTTTGTCAGATGATTTTAAACAAAGAGATTAAATAAGAAAAAAAAAACCCAGATTTTTTTAAGTGACTGACCTAAGTATTAAATTATATATATATGAAGCTAAAAAAAAAAAAAAAAAAAGCTATGCTAGGTCTCCTAACTGTCCAGATCCTGACTATAAGAGCATAAGGGGGCAGTGAGGGGATGAGAAGCTGTCAGGTAACCAGGAGTACCTGACCTCAGACTGGACAGAGTGCATATGAACAACACATCCTGGATGGTTGACTGATGGGATTAGATGCAGCTGGAGAGCCTCACCTTCCTAGCAGAAACCCCCAATGAGAGCCCTCCCTAGAGAGCAGTTGCTGCCCACATCCTCTCATGTTCTTCCTGAGGGGTTCAGGTTCATATCACATTAGTGGCACTAACAACCACCCTCAACAGGAAAGGTGGCAGGGAGGAAAGCAGAAGGCAGCCATCAAGGGCAGGAACAAACACTACAGGGTGTAAAAGGAGCCACAACAGGGATTCATCCTGAGTCCCCACTTCAACAAGGCAGCAAGCAAGCAGTGTAATTCCAAGAGCCAGGAGAAGCCAGAGAAAGGGAGGAGACTTTAGGAAATGAAGTTACACTAGACAAATGCTACATCAAATAGGTGATTCTGGTTGGCATAATATCATAGCCCTTCTAACTTTTCCTAATACTTTAAGATATGAGTAGTTCCCACTGTAGGACATACCCAGGTTACAATGAACCACACTAACAGTATATAATCTGGTTTTTCTTGTATGATTTGTGTATTTTTTAATGTACGTATATATCAAAATATATATGTAAGTTTATATGTAATGTTTCCAACCCTCAAAGACAAACAAAGATCGGATTTATAAAGATACTGATAACAGAAGGCAGTAATAGGAAAACTAAACTCTGTAAACTTTCACCCAAACCACACACAAAAAAAGAAGAAGAAATGAAAATAAACAATAAAGAAGTTCCAAATGGGCCCCAGGAAGAAGAAAAGAAAGAACTTTAAAAAAAGCATTAATATTGAAAACTTTAAAAAAATGATTCAACTTATGCTTTCAATTTATGTCAGAACCTACATATAAGAGTCTTAAGAACTGGTCATCTTCACAATAATCTGGTAAGGTCTGTAAGGGAACTATTACTTACATTTAATAGATGAGGAAACTGAGACTCAAAGAATGACTTACCTGAGGCCACCTGCTGGTTGGTAGCAAAGCAGAAAACAGTCTGTTCTAAAGAACAAACCACAAAGAGAATGGGAGATAGTGTCTCTCCAAATTGAGAAAACAGATGAGTTTATTGAAAAGTTCAAACTCATGGGAATAGTGAGAAGAACTAGATCTAGTAATAAAATGAAAAGAGCGCTATCCCTGTGTGTTCTTTGGGTAAGCAAAAAAGGGATAGAGATAGCACCACCAATCTACACCCTGAGTCCTGCTGTAGGATAAACACTGGTTCAAACTTACCAGGCACTCCTCAGAAGCCCTATACAGGGTCACTGTTGAGTCAGAACTGATTTGACAACACTTAACAACAATATACCCTGATCATCCATAGAATACCAAATACAAACTGTTTTAAAAAGAATCCAAGACACAATCAGTGAAGTTAGGGAAAAGACCATCTCAAATACCTGTGGACCAGGAGTTAAATACGCAGCCCACAAAAGGTGAAAGAATCATTCCAGGGCTAAGAAAACATACCAAGAGGACAAGAAAACCATGGAGGAGAATGTGAAGAAAATACAAGACCCGGGTCTTCACCAATGAAAAGGCACATCAAGGGCTAGCAGAGGGTCTGGCTGAGAAAATGACTAATAAATGTTAGCTACTATTAACAGTGGTGGAGGTGGTGGTGGTGGTTGTGTGTCATGCAGTCAGTTACAACTCCAAGCAATCTTGTATAGGGTTTCCAAAGCTGTAAATCTTTACAGGAGCAGAACACCTCAACTTTCTCCTGCAGAGTGATTGGTAGATTCAAACTGCTAACCTTATTAGCAGTCCTATTCATAACCCACTATGCTACCAGGGCTCCTCAGTAGTAGTAGTTGTTGTTAAGTGCCATCAAATCAATTCCGACTCATACCAACCCTGTATAGGGTTTCCAAGGAGCAGGGTTTGAGCTGCTGACCTTGTGGTTCACAGTCCAGTGCTAATCCTAGATCATTCCCCAAAATCAGTTTCTAAATCACCTAAAATGCTTCTGAATGATAAAGGTTGACTTTGTCCTCAGTCTCTCTTATAGATACCATCTTTAACAGTTTTCTGTGTTCTATTTTATCAAGAAGGAGCCTGGTGACATAAGGGCTAAGCACTCAACTGCTAACACAAGGTTGGCAGTTCAAACCCATTGAGCATGCAGTTCCTAAGGAGAAAGACCTGGCAATCTGCTCCTGTAAAGATTACAGCCTAGAAAACCCTCGGGACAATTCTATTCTATAACTAAGCATTGCTATGAGTTGAAATGGCATTCCAGAGGAGGCAGCTGGAGTAGAGGAATAGTGGAGACAGGAGCAGTGGAAGGAGAGCCTGCTTATGCTTTTTAGTCTACAGCCATGTGCATGCAGGAAGCACATGGACTACCTCCAGTCCTGAAGATTGCCACTACCTCCTAGCCCCTTCCCCCAAGTCTTCCGAAACCACCAGAAGTATCCAGGTAACCACTGAGACAAAGTCACCAACACACCCGCCACCTCCCACAGTCCTTACATATATCTAGCCCACAGACTCCCAAGCCTAGCTAATTGGCTTTAAAAAGGGCAGCATTAGAGAGAAACTGAGGAGGAGACAAAGCTCAATGGCTCCACTTTCCACCCTCTGCTCCCACACACTTAGGCCTCTTCACTCCCTGCTGGTCTTTCCTTCTCTCTTCCCTAGGATTGCGAAAATGATTTGTTCTGAACAGCGACAGGTTTATAGGTTAGCCGACACCTCCGCTCTGTGGAATTTTAATTAACTTCTCCCATCGTCAATATGCTAAGGAACGGGGTCTCCATTCTCTGGGGTCAGCAATGTGTTTCAGGTCCTGCTATATCAGCCGTCAAATTGAAGAATTAATGACGTGGCTAATCGGCTCTAATTCTTTGGGAAGAAAAAAAATGTGAAAGGGCGCTGTGGAAAGGAGCAGGAGGAGGGGTGTAGGCTCCATGGGGTGAGGAGAAGGAGGCTGACTTAAATCCAGTGTTGGAGGGTGGCAGCCCTGCAGCTTTTCCATTTATCATTCAGGGGGTTGAGAAGGAAGTGAGGGAAGACTCTTGGAAACTACTGTGAGAGAACAGGTGCAGGAGAGTGAGTATATGTACCCTGCTGGGGAGAAGAGAGGTGCTGTCTTGGCTCAACAGAACCCAGAAAGCTGAAGGCAGGATGCAAAGCTCACTTGTTCACAAGTACAGCTAGAGAAATGTCGAGTCATCATAAAAACATGCTACTTGGGTTATAAGTATTGATGATCCTACTCCTCTACAAATGTGTGTCCTTGGAAGAGAGCCCAATTGGATAGAGGCCTTAAGCCTCTCCTGAGGATAAACCAGAGATGTGAGGTGGGAAAACAGGTTGACTAGGGATGTCACCTCCCAGAGATGCTGAGAAACCTCTGCCCCAGAGGGCACCGTACCCAGAAGGGATACTCCTGGTAACAGCTGCACTCCTGATTGCATTCTAACCCATCTTTCTTTAACATTATTGGTGTTAGGTATTTAGGAAATAAGTCTCTGGAAAGTTATCTCAACCACATATAGACACGAAGTGTGTATATCTCCAAAGTAACTTCAGTTGGGAGATTTTCTAGTTCACCTGATTTAGTAAAATAAAAGCATTAGTTATATGAGATAAAAACATTTACAAAAATGACTCCCTTACCTGAGCAATGGGCTGATAGCAATGGACCAGACTCGGTCTTCAGTCTGGATGGTGTGTAAGCACTGCCCCAACCGGCCTGAAGCCAAAGGCCATACCTAAAAACAGGAGAGGAGACACTTTCATTGTCACTGTCTGGGATGAGGTGACATAGAAGTGCCAGGTGGGTATCTGCCCCTACAGAGGTGCAGAATGGAGAAATCTTTCTTGCCTGTGCCTACAGAGCTCAGGGAACCAGCAGAGGGGAACATCAAGTGTCTGGCTTGCCTACCACTCAGAGTGACCTTGGTGTCCAGTCCTAACTGCCCCTACCCAATAGTCAATACCTAACAGTCAATTTTATATCAAGAAATCAGAAGTTCCATATTCCTCAGCAGAAACCTGACAGAGAACTATGTTGATGGGTTTTGCTGCTCTCAATATCCTTCCCATGTTTGTGGATATTTCATTTTCCTTTCACCAAGATTCTACTTTGGGCAGGTGTAGAGAGGGGAGAAGATCAAGGGCATGGTATGAGGAGACAAGAGATAGAATTAGAGAAAAGAGTAAGAAAGAAAGTATAAAGGAAATAAAGAATGGAAGAACAGAGACTTCAAAGAAGGAAGGTGGTGTGTTGTTTGTTTGTTTGTTGATAATGCCCAGGATCCAATGCTATTCATGTCAGCAGGGAATTTAGCACCTAGTGTCACCAAAAGCAGCAGAAAAGCTTAACCCTTTTAAGCTTCCATATCTCCTACAGGTTAAAAATATTGCTTGGAGCACATTATCTGGTCCCTATCAGTCAGGAATGTACATTAGCAGCCACTCTGAGCTTAACTCTAATCAACACTCACAGAGCCCTCTCAGCAGTCAGTGCATTTAGAGGTTTCCCATTAAGCACAAGGCTCCCCCCTCACCTCACTCTGCCCTAGATGACATACACGGGGAATAAGCCTCTAACCAAACAGAAAGAAAACCTTAAATGAAGAGGGCTATCCTCAGACAGCAGCCAAGGAGGGATCCTGAGATGGCCAGATGGATCAATGACCTCTCAAGGTCCCTGCAGTGCTATAAGAGGAACACGCAGAACTCAGCCAGGACCTTAGATGGAAGAACACTAAGGAAACATTCCTTGGGTTTAAGGGGTAGGTGAGGGAATGGGGGTGGCCCTGCCTTCTGGGGGTCACATGGTATCTCTTCCCTATAAAAAGAGTGTGTGTGTGTGTGTGTGTATGTATGTGTATGAGCAAGGGAGGGCAGAGTCGAGTGAGTTATTTTTCCCAACACAAGGAATAGAAAATAAATTTAACAAGCAGATCCTGAACAAAGAAGGACAAAAGCAAATGTAAATACCACACCTTTCCTGGAGTGCCATGTCTCGGGCTTCCTCTTCTGGATCTATCTACAGTCATTCCTCTTGGGTGGTAACTAAAATGTACTCCTAAATTCCTCTTTTAGACAGCTTCAGCTTGAGAAAGACTTTTTAGCCTTCTCCCTGATGTAAACCACCTGGGGAGAAGATTCTTTAGAGGCAGAATTTGCTTGGGCAGTAGGGAGGCACAAAGGATTCTGATAGCAAAGTCTCTGGGGACAATCTGGGCAAATCACAGAGGGAGCGTCCTAGTCTCTATGAGAAGCTCAGAAAGCATGCTGCCAATTTGAACATGATCTTGGGAAAGTGGCCCTCGTAACCTGCCCCACAGCACACCATCTACTAGAAACATGGGTACCATGGTACCTGGGTGTCTTAGTAATACTGCTATGACAGAAAAACCACAGACTATTCTGGCTTTAACAACCAGAAATTCATTAGTTTACAATTTAGGAGGCTTTTGTTGTTGTTAAGTGCTTTCAAGTCGGTTCTGACTCATGGTGACCCTGTTAGTGTTTCTAAGGAGCAGCTGGTAAGTTTAAATCACTGACCTTGCAGTTAACAGTCCAGTGATTATCCTACAGCACCATACCAGGACACCTTTGTTGTTGTCCTTAGGTGCCACAGAGTTGGTACTGACTCATAGTGACCTTATGCACAGCAGAACAAAACACTGCCTGCCCGCCCGATCCTGGGCCGAATCTGGGCCAACCTCACTATGGTTGATATGCTTGAGAGACTAGATATCCAAATTCAGAGTGCCAGCTCTAGGGGAAGGTTTTCTTTTTGTCAGCTTTGGGGTCCTTGTCTCCTTTCAGCAGTTGTCAGCCCAGTATTCATTGGAGATCTCCATATATCTTGGCATCAGTCTTCTCTAGGGTCTGGGAGTTTCAACAGTGCAAGAACCCAGATCCAAAAGGCATACTCCACTCCCGGCTCTTCTTTCTTCATGGCAGTAGGTCTCTATTTCTCTGCTCACTTCACTCTCTCATTTTATATCTCAAAAGAGATTGGCTCAAGATACAACCTAACCCTGTAGATTGCATCCAACCTCATTAACATCATAGAAGTGAGGCTTTACAACACACTGGATAATTACATCAGATCACATCATGAAGTTAATTGTCTTATATTAGTTCTTATCATGGAGGTGATGACATCTTAACTGCTAAACCACTAAGAATCCCGGCCCAGTCAAGTTGATACAAAGCCTTAACTATGTCTTCATCCTCAATGGCCAAATCCAAAATAGACCCATAGCGACCCTTGAGTCCAATAGAATGAAACACTGCTGGTCCTGCACCATCTTTATAATTGCTGCTACACTTGAGCCCATTGCTGCTGCCACTGTGTCACTCCATCTCGTGGAGGGTCTCCCTCTTATTCACTGACCCTCCACTTAACCAAGCATGATGTCCTTCTCCAGGGACTGATGTATACTGATAACATGTCTGAAGTATGAAAGACAAAGTCTGGTCATCTTGGCTTCTAAGGAGCATTCTTGTGCTTCTTCCAACACAGATTTGTTTGTTCTTTTGGCAGTCCATGGTACCTTTAATATTCTTCTTCAACACCATAACTCAAATACTTCAATGCTTCTAGTCTTCCCTATTGACTGTCCAACTCTCACATGCAAATGAGGCTACTGAAAAGACCATGGCTTGGGTCCTCAAACTGACATCTTTGAACCCGAGCTGTTACTTATGAACTTTTTTTTTTTTCAGTTCTATTATTTATTTTTATT